CGATTTGGAGAGCAGCGGAAACGTAAACAGTCACTTATAATGGCAGGAGGTGAGGCGCTGGGACGTATGGGCAGGTGGACAGCTTGCCAGTGTGCTGCTGCTTTTCGTGCTCAGCCGTGAGCACGTCCGCTCCAGAATGGAGTAGAGTACGGAGCGTTGTATTACTCCTTCATGAGTTTTGTAAAATTTAGTTTACTCTTAACTTTGCTTGAATAAAGCGTTGTTCTCTGGTTTTTCCTTGTCCTTTCAGAATAGATAGCAGTCAGTGGGAGAGACTGGTTTAGAGAGATGTCATCCAAAAGGGATTTTTACTGTTGTTTTCTAGTTATAAATTGCCTAGCTGGTTCACTTGCAGTCTACTTGGATTGTTTAATACACTGTTAAACGGGGGTATAGGTTGTGTGGTACAGTTAAAGCTTGTTTATTTTTTTTTTCTTATTTCCAGGTCCAAGCATCTCATTTTGAAGGCCTAATCACAACTATAGTTGGGTATATTCTTTTAGCAATAACATTGATAATTTGTCATGTATCCTTTAATAAACCAATTTGGGCCTTTAGTAATATTCATACCAAAGAGTTGTTTCTGTTAATGACAAAAGTATTTCTCTCCCCTTTTCCTCTTAGTAAAAGTTGTAGGTATTTGTAGTGATGATAAGGGCAGACAAAATGTGAAATAAGTTAATTTTGTTTGCCAAGTAATACTAAGTATTGCCTAAATTATTATATGTGTTTTACTGTAACTTGAAATGCTCCGTTTTTCCTTGACTAGATGCTACAGGGCTTGGCCACTCTTGTTAAATTTCATAGGTCTCGCCGCTTGCTTGGAGTCTGCTATATTGTTGTTAAGGTAACTCCTGTCATAAGTTAAAACTGGAAAACAGTTTATCCTCATTTGGATGATATTGATGACCTTTATTTTTACTTTAGGTCTCTTTGCTAGTAGTGGTGGAAATCGGAGTGTTCCCTCTCATTTGTGGCTGGTGGCTGGATATCTGTTCCCTGGTGAGTTTATTATTTATTATACAATCTAATAATTGAAAAGCATCAGAAAAGACATCTTTAGAATAGGTTCCTTTTAAAGGAAAAGTCAATATTTGATAATAATTTGCTTATTTTTTTCTGAGAATATCATTGTGGAGTCTTAATGTTACGAATTTTTCTTGAATGCCTGCTTTTTTTGAGGCCTTGTGCAGATTTTGGATGCTATGGTATTTTGACTAGCATTTTTCTGATAACCAATAGAGAATATGCTTACTCATTTTACTTTTCTAAATTTCACAATAATGCCACGACATAAACATAAAAAGAGCAATTTGATAAGAAGACTGTCTTTGTAGTAGTAAATTCGACCCTAAACCATTTGTTTTAACTAAATGCTGCTCGGTTTTGATTGTCTTTAATGTGTGCCAGTGATAATCAGGTTTTGACTTTTCAAAAATAGTTTATATGTAGAAAAGCTGCCTTTGGTTCTGAGATAGCATTGCTCCCAAACCTTACTATTAAAACTTGTCATGAATGCAGACCTGTAACCAAGAAGGAAGGTACCATGTTAACCCAAAATGGTTCTTTTCTAATAGGAGTAGTGCAAAGTTCTTATTTACCAATTGGTTTATCAGTCTTGCTTCTTATAGTTCAGATTTTTAAAGTGTCATTACGTCTTTGAAATAGTGTCCAACCTTACAGCATTTGTATTTCTGTGACACCATGGAATGGCACTAAGAGAACGGTAGTCTAGAACATCATAGCCTACGTGCACAGCGATTTTGCTCCCTTCCCAGAAGGTGGAGGTGTGCATTTGGCAAACGCAAGTGCCCCCGCTCTGGCTCACCTGCTGTGCTTGACTTAGGAAATGTTTGACGCCACTCTGAAGGATCGAGAGCTGAGCTTCCAGTCGGCGCCAGGCACGACCATGTTCCTGCACTGGCTCGTGGGCATGGTTTATGTCTTCTACTTCGCCTCCTTCATTCTGCTGCTGAGAGAGGTGAGTGCCACGGGGGTGCCCACGCCGCACCTTCATGAAGAGGACTTCCGCCTCCGGTGTTCAGGGTTCCCTAACTAGACCAGCTTCTCTAGTCTTCTATTCTAAGAGGGAATAACATAGGCGAATTTGGCTTAATTGCTTTAAACTGTTTTCAGTCATTTGTCTTCAAAAATTGACAAGTTTTAATATTTTTTACTATAATCAATTACGAGTTTGAAAGATGAGTAGACTGAGGGGGGAAAAAATAAAAGCACTTGCTTTACTTGGTATATATTGTGGCCATACTCTAATACAAATTCTTGGAATTTTATGTGATGTGAGCCTGTCTTGGACTTCATTCAAGGAAATGTAAAGCTGAAATACCCAAAGGGTGTGATTTTGCAGGATCAAATATGTCAGATGGTCTTGAAGCAGACACCTTTAAGTGCTGAATTAGAGGGTCCTTTATGAATCAGTTCACTTGCCAGATGGGTACCCCCCTAAACCTATTTTCGGAATACAGTCCTTGCTGATATGAAGACAGTGAGCATGGGATCAGTATCTAATTAGTATATCTCTCATGCTCAGTCACTCGGGTGCAACAGCAAGTACGAAACCATATAGTTCTGATAAGAGCTTGCCGCGGTGCACACGCTTTCTGTGTTAGTCACTGTGCTTTCTGCTGGGGTAACAGTGAGAATCAAAGGCACAACCCCATGTCCTTGATATGACACCCTGGGAAGGAATACAGCCTTTGACGGGTCAGCTGACTCCTTTGAGAGTGCCGATGGACCTGTGCAGGGCTGGAGGAGCAGGCCGACTAATCCAGTGTAATGGAATAGAAAAGCAGAGAGGCTCCATGCTGTTCTCGATGTGCCGTGCTGCTTGAGAGGCTTGAGGGGTGGGGAGGGCGCTGGAGGCCACCATGTTCTCCTGAACCATTCAGTGTAAGCTCAGTAATTCTATTCACAAATCAAGCTTGTATTCTTTCCTTGAAACAAGTGATCAAGACTAAATGTGTTTTTTAAAAATCGTAATTATATATGCATTCTAAATTACATTGTTAAGTGATTAAAAAGTTTTATGTGAATTTTTTTCAATTTATTTATGTGTTTTATTGTTGATACAGAATCATAGTATTTGGGAGTTACGTCATGTATTATAACTCCCTCGTCTGGGAGAGGAGAAATAGAATTTGGGCACATGAGATGCTTTACTCAGTGAGTTTAGACTATCCGAACGAATATCCAGACTCATCCATTGCCCCATCACCCATGGCTTCTTGGGTTGATGATTTCCACTGAGAGGGAAAAAGCTGTGGGTAGTAAAATGAAGATATGTACTGAGAAGCTGTAGGGCTTCTTCATTAAGATAACTCCTCTCAGGAGTGTAAGACTGAAATATTGTGTTGTCAGAAAAGTCATGACGCATTTTTGCAACGAAAACCAAAAAATGCGTCGTGACTTTTCCGACAACCCAATAAGATCTCCTATTTAGGACATTTATAAATTGCAACCTAATTCTTTCACTAAATGGTACAATAGTGATAATTTTTAAAAATGTGTTTTCATCTTGGAAAACATCAAACTGTCCTTAATAATTTTTTTTCATTAAATGATTAAAAGCATCAAAGGACGTCAAACACAGGATAGTTTTCATAAAGATTCTGATTTAGGAACTTCTTTTCCCAAAAAAGCCATATGAATTTTTGGGGCCTCATTTTATAAGATGCCAGAATAATTTTAAGAGCATATTTTTCTATTAATGTTTTAGCTTATATACGGAGCCTTGAAGACATTGTTGTTTATAGCATTTAAAATCTATTTGCAGGTACTTCGACCCGGTGTCTTATGGTTTCTAAGGAATTTGAATGACCCAGATTTTAACCCAGTACAAGAAATGATCCATTTGCCCATCTATAGGCATCTCCGAAGATTTATTTTGTCTGTGGTAAGCAGACCTTTTTATTGTTTTGGAAGTAAAGTGTGCTACTCTAGATTTATTTTTTTTGGTCAGGGGTACTGGTAGAGTAGATTGGATTATTTTCTTTTTGCATAAGCCAGTGGAACTTGGTTGTTAAGTAGCTGTTTTATTGGTTACTTTGCTAAAACAAATAAAATGTTTACTAAAACAAAAACTTTCCATTAAGGGCCACCTGAGTGGCTCAGTTGGTTAAGAGCATGCTGAAGAGTGCAAGCTCTGAGCACAGGGTCGCTGGTTCGATTCCCGGCCCGAGCTGAGCTGCCGCTGAGCTGCCAACAGGTGGCAGGATGGCTCAGCTAAACAAAAATAATAAAATAAATAAAATAAAATAAAAATACCTTCTATTAAATACTTCAGTAGTATAATTGATTATCAAATTATGAGTTTCTGAATTACATTTAATTTAATTAAAGCAATGGAGACTTGTTACTAGTTTCTATTATAAATTAAACTCTCAACAGAAGAGTCTCAAAGTTTTTTCCCTGCTTGGAAGAAATTACCTAGTTAAATCTAAATTTTTCCAAAATAAAATTCTAAAAGCCGTATTGCACCCTTTGGAAAATTTTGTAGCCATTAGTATGTCTCATGTCTTATAATAATCACAGGTGATTTATGAAGTTGCAGACAATCCTGATAGTTCATTCTGAGTGCTTAGAGCGCTCTCCTCACAGACCATGCAGTGATTATATTTTGTCGCCCCATTTGAGCCCTGGTGTCCCAGAGAGAGAGGAGTGTAGCCATCCCAGGAACACATTCCGTACACAGAATGACCCGAGTGTAATGTGTGGAGTGAGATCACCTGGGGTGCTAAGTGGGTGTAGACTTGGATTGTCCCTTGGCTGAGTCTGTTCAGAAGCCTGCCTGCCTCTCCGGAGTGACTGCGGAGGTGTCATGCCCTGTTTCTTCCCGCAGATTGTCTTTGGCTCCATTGTCCTCCTGATGCTTTGGCTCCCTATTCGTATAATTAAGAGCCTGCTGCCTAATTTTCTTCCATACAATGTCATGCTCTACAGGTACGTTTTTGAAATTTGGAAGCTTTATCTAATTGAGCTCTGTTAGGAATTTGATATTCAGAAGTACATACATTTAAACCATGCATTTGTTACAGATACTGGAGATCATCTGACAGTTAAATTTGGTCATGTTCTGGATCACATAAACATTAGTTTAGCAGTTACATTTTCCAAAGTACAGGCTTATTTTTCTGCAAATAAAGTTTGCCTTTGTTCAGAGCATTGAAGTGTTTACCATCCCCAATGAGAGTATTTTAGTAGCATCATCTTTATGTGAAAAGCACATCATAAGGAATGTATCCATAGTTGCCCATTTAATTATGGATTAAAAATAGGATATAAGGCTTATAGATGGAAAATCTTTTTTTTTTTAAAATTTTTTTAAAAATTTTTTATTGGGGAATTGGGGGAAGGGGAACAGACAAGTTGCTGTAGTTTTGTTCTTCAGTCTAGTTGCGGAGGACATTGCTTCACTGGCCCAAGTTGGCACCACCACCGCGCTCCTCCCAGGCGAGGCACATCAGTCGCCGGCCTCTGGATGGCCGCTCACTGCGGCTGCTGGCCGCTCATGCTGGCTGCTGGCTACACACGGTAGCCCAAGGCAACCCACTGCCACAGGGGCTGCAGCCTACGCCGTTGCTGGCGACTCACAGCAGCCCAGCTCCAGGTTGAGCTGTTGTTCAGCATCTTAGCTGTAGAGGGCAGCGTCACTGGTCCTCATATGTGGGATCCGAACCGGGGCCCTCTGGTGTCCCAAGCCAGCTCCCAACCATTGTGCCACTCGGCCGGCCCTGGAAAATCTTTTTTGATGTAAAAACTTAAGTCATTGGAAACTTAGTCTCACTCTTCTTGTATTCCCTTTTCAGTGGTTTGCATTATTCCTTCAGTCCCTTAAACCAGAAATCTGCCAGGCAAATTGGATTTATGACTCCATTTTACTTCTCATTAGTCTTTAAATCTTGTCAGTTCTAATTCTTTAAACTCTCTTATCTACTTGATGCACTATTTACTACCTTAGTTTAGGCCTTATTCTTGTTCTCCATTTATAATCCATCCTTAACCCTATGCCCCTTCCCCCGTAACCTACGTGATAGTCTGGGTCAGGATGATGAGGGAACCAGTGGGTCTTGGAAAGACCTTCAAGGATAGGTGTTTTGAGGAGCGAGAAGTGACCAATCGTATAGCATGCTACTAACATAGCAAGTGAGGTGAGGACCAAGACCTGTCCATCAGGCTTAACCACATGAAGGTCATCGGTACCCTTGTCAGGAACCATTTTGTGGGGTTTGAGGGCGAAGCCTTGTTGGCTTCAAGAGAGAAGGGAGGAGAGATGATAAAGACAGTGGGTTCATTCGACTCTTACGGGAGTTGGATGGCATCCCATAAAATGTTTACTATGATGCGGTTGTTGTGGGAAAAGGAGTGCACGTTGTAAATCATGGCTCTTTGTAATTGCCCAGTGACGCTCCAGTGAGTGAGCTGTCCCTTGAGCTGCTTCTGCTTCAGGTCGTCTTGCCAGCGTTGCTCGAACAGGGACACACGCGGCAGTGGCTGAAGGGGCTTGTGCGGGCATGGACTGTGACTGCTGGATACTTGCTGTAAGTACAGGCAGGTGGATGTGCATGTGTCAGTGTAATAACCTTTCTCAAAAGGATGTTCCACGCCCCACTCAGGAAAACTTTGGTTTAGTAAGAGACAATTTAGTGATATCTGCAGGTATGTATAGTACTTAATTCTAAAAAAAAAATTTAGTTTTTAACTTTATTGGAGAGCAGTGTGTTTTTTTCCAGGACCCATCAGCTCCAAGTCAAGTTGTTGTCCTTCAATCTTAGTTGTGGAGGGCGCAGCTCAGCTCCCAAGTCCAGTCACCATTTTTAATCTAGTTGCAGGGTGCACAGCCCGCCATCCCATGTGTGAGTCGAACAGCCAACTTTGTTGTTAAGGACACGCACTCTAACCAGCTGAGCCACCCGGCCTTCCCTAAAAATTTTTAATTAAAAAACTTTTTCTAATCATTGTGCATTCTTTTGTGGAGGATGTATGAATGTTTTTACCCTTTTATAGAGGTTTCCTGCTGGCCTAGGTTCTTTCATTTCATTACACAGGTAAAACATAATTTTTTTTTTTTTTATTGCATTAAAAACTAACTAGGGCTGGCCAGGTGGCTCAGATTGGTTAAGAACTCGCTCAAGAGTGTGAGCTCTGAGCAAAATAAAAAACAAACCAACTTACCCTTGTTTTAGAAGTCTTAACCTGATATGAGCTTCTCTCAGATTGGGTTTCTTAGTCATTTAGTCATCATGTTGCATTTAGTTTTTTCAAGCTTTTATTAAAAGTTGAATCTTTGTGATTTAAACTTTTTTTTTTCCAGAAAATGTGTGGCATCCTGTAGATACCTAATGTGACATGTATTTGGTTGTTTTTTGTTTTGGTTTTTTTTAAGATTTTTATTGGGGAATTGGGGGGATGGGAACAGTGCTGGGGAATCGGGGGAAGGGGAGCAGACAAGTTGCTGTCATTTTTGTTCTTCAATCTAGTTGTGGATGGTTGTTTTTGATTATCCTTCTCTAACTGCCTAAGCCCCACCGTGAGCCTTCTCCCCCAACTCATTTTTGCCTGAACGGATTTTGGTCTGGCGATTTTAGTTGAGATAATGTCACAGCAGACACAGGAGCTATCTGTAGAAAAGAAAAGCGGTTGTTTCTTTAAGACGTTCGCATAGAGTATCTTGTACATGGTCCTTTTTTTCTCAGTTACTGATTTCTTTTCAGATGCTGGCTGAAGAAAACATAAAATGGATTGAATTTATGGGATAATTCTGTATGTTAATTAACATTAAATTTGGGAAGGTCTAATTTAAATTAAGCAGATACCACCATTTAGACCGGGCTGAGGTCATGGTGCCACGGAGAGAATCTACTTGAGCATTGTCTACCCTAAATAATAATTATTAAGAAAGTAAATCTCATGTCTGCTATTTTTATTTGAATCTGAGAATTTTCACTGATATAATTTTTACATAGGGACCTTCATTCCTATTTATTGGGAGACCAGGAAGAAAACGAGAACAGTGCAAACCAACAAGTTAACAATAACCAGCACGCTCGGAATAACAACGCTATTCCCGTGGTCGGGGAAGGCCTGCATGCAGCCCACCAAGCCATACTTCAGCAGGGAGGACCTGTCGGCTTTCAGCCCTACCGCCGGCCTTTAAATTTCCCACTCAGGGTAGGTACTGGGCAGACTAACCCAAAGTCACGTGTTCTCAGATTTCTGTTGCAAAACGTTGGTGCTGTTATTGTTGCTGTTAGTATGTCGTCTCCTGTGGAGACATGTCCTACAGTCTCCTGACAAGAACTCAAGTTTAGTCCTCTCGTTATGCAGCATAATGTATGTTAATGTCAGATAAGTTTTATCTAATTCTAGAGATGGGTCATAGTGTTGGGATTCCTTGTGCTGTTGCTCCTTGCTGTTTGAGAGGGCTAATATAAAAGGCTCTTGAGCAAATGAGAAATTAACATTATCGATACATTTCAACTATGTGTCAGGAGCTGGAGTGGGCATTTTAATGCTTTTCTCCCTTTTAATTCTCATCCAGATACTGCAAGGCATGAGTGGGAATCTCATGTTTACATCTGATGAGAGCCTGGGGAGAGAAGCAGGGAGCCGGGAGAGAAGCGGGGAGCCGGGAGAGAAGCGGGGAGCCGGGAGAGAAGCGGGGAGCCGGGAGAGATGAGGCTCTTGGAGTGGCAAAAATTACTTCCTGGCCCAGATCAGAGAGAGAGTCATTAATGGGTTGGTTTCTCAAGCCGGGAAGACTGACAGCCTCACAGCCTCCTCTTAGAGAACTGTCATCTGTCTTTTTCAGCCTTTCCACCAGAGCTCTGCCCTCTGGGCTCAGGAGGGCTTGTGCCCGGCCAGGTGGAAGGCACGCAGCAGTCACTGCCTTTCTGCCCAGGGCTGCCGCTTCCCTCCTCGCTTCATGTGCCTTTTTGTCTTCTCAGTACAGGAGCCAGTAACTACACGTGGCTGTTTCCATGTACATCTAATTAAAAGTCAATACAGTCTGTAAACATGTAAGGTGATAGATGTGTTGATTATCTCAGTGGTGGGAATTCCCTCACAGTGTATACATGTATCAGGTCATGTTGTACACTTTAAATATATTACAATTTTATTTGTTAATTGTACTGCCATAAAGCTGAAAAAAGAAAAAAGACATTTCTTGTAGGCAGCGCGCATGCACGTGCACACACACGAGTAAATACAATGTAAATTTCCATTATTCATGCATACTGACCCCATGTCACATGCTCAGCGGCCACGTGCCAATGGCTCCTTTGTCGGACAGCTCAGATGTAGATATTTCCATTGTCACAGAAAGTTCTAATTGGACAGTACTGTTAGAGAGTAAGTTTTCCCTTCATGAGTAGTTGTTTTTGAGAATTTGATTTAAAAAATGAATATTTTTACTTTTAATTACTAGTAAGGGAACACTTAAGCTGAATATATTTTATTTTTATGCTCTGATTAAAAAATATGTTACCTGTTACTTGCTGATATATCTGATTATGTGAACATGGACATTTATTTTCCTTTTGGCCAAATTTCCTTGTAAGTAATTTTACCAAAATAAAAATTTCCTTTTTATGTAAAATGGCAGGAAACCTGGAACTACCAGGACATACCATTTGTTTTTACTGGGAGAACTGTGTTGATTCTTTGAGGGGTGTCGTAAGATACATTGAGCTCATATGAGCCATTTACACACTCGCATGTTTTGCCTTGCAGATATTTCTGTTGATTGTCTTCATGTGTATTACCTTACTGATTGCCAGCCTCATCTGCCTTACTCTACCAGGTAGGTACCTTCTTCTCGCTCTCTGCTGATGACATCATGAAAAGGTGCTTTGCTTTAAAGGGTATATCTTGCTGAGATGTGAGCTTTCCTCAGATATAAACTCGAAATCATTTTCCTCTCATTTCTGATTGAATACGGGACATTGACTTATTTGGGCTTGGTTCTCCTCATTGGATTCTTTGTATTGGAGCAGAGGGGAACAAAGGCAAGATACAATTTATGATTCGTTTTTGGAAGTAAAGTACTGTGGCCACTCAGTTTTCATGGACATTGTGTAATGACAGTGTGGGTTTTCAAAAAGTTGTGTGTGTGGCTTAAGTCATTTTTTGAAGCCAGTCTTTTGATGCTGATTATGATTGTTCTCGTTATGTAATTATGTTTCCACTCCATTGCATGCCTGTTGCTAGAGACCTTTATGCAGCCAGACAGACTATTTCCCTTTTTCCTCTGCTAGTCACAGATATGCATCTTTAGATTTCAGTTAAACAGTGGTTTTTTTTTTGTTTTTTTGTTTTTTTGTTTTTTTTTTAGCTGAGCCATCCTGCCACCTGTTGGCAGCTCAGCGGCAGCTCATCTCAGGCCGGGACTCGAACCGCTGTTGCTCAGAGCTCTCACTCTTGAGCGAACTCTTAACCAGCTGAGCCACTCGGCTGGCCCCAATGTTTCTTAATCTAACAAATAAGCTGTGAACGAATATACGGTAGTAGTTTGTCATCTTCTCTAGAGTTCAGGGGTCAATGGGGGTGGAGTCCAAAGCTAATGACAGAGTGGCGGCAACAGCTTTCTGCCCCTCACGCCCTCCAGGTTGGTGTTTATAGTGAGCCAGAAAATTCTAAATCATACTGATACGTGTTAGCCACTTAATCATTAAGATAATGTTGAGCTCTTACAGGGCATATAAATATATATTTGGTTAGTGTCTTGATTGTAACACTAACTCAGTATAATTCTATAAATCAAGTTTGTGTTAAGTTCTTGAATTTTTCCATGAGGACTAAAGATTTTTTTGTTTTTACTGTTTCTGCATAATAATTTTTGACCTTTAGAACTTCGCTCCTTAGCTCACTACTCTTCGCAGCTGTTAAATGACAGTCTAATTAACCGTTGGGTGCAATGTAGTAAACATGTTGCTGAGAACACTTAATTTGTGAACTTTGGGCAGTTTTACATTTATGGTTTTTATGTTCCATTTTCATGTTTTTATCAGAAATATTAAGAAAAAGTTAATGAAAGAAACCTAGTTTTAGTAGTTGGAATTGGGCAATAAAAGTACTTTAATTTCACTGAAGATTGTTAACTAAATATTTCTGTGTTAATCCAGTCCCACCATCTGTTGGAAAGAATTCCGTATGTTTAATCGTAGCAATGCTTTTAGTAGCATTCATAGTACACACTTAAGGTGGTGAGGATGCTGTTTCTCCCATAGGTTACTTTTCTGCATCTACAGTTTTAATTTATGAAAACTACTATAAACTAAAACCTAACCATGTCCTCTCGAAAACACTTTTGATTAGAAGTATGTGAAGTATGGCATAGAAAGTGGCTTTTACAATTTTAAAAACCAACCAAAGAAACAAAAACCAAAAGAAACCCCTTGGAGTAGAGATATATATAGATACACACACACACACACACACACACACACACACACACACACACACACGGTGCTAAAAAAATGTATACACATTTTAAGAAAGGAAAAAACTGAATTAAAATTTTAACACTCAGTGTATATCAATAACAAATGATGAGTACAAGTCATGTGTATTCATTTTTTTTGGCACCCTCGGGGTGTGTGTGTGTGTGTGTGTGTGTGTGTGTGTGTGTGTGTGACACTAGATATACTAGATATTTCTACAGAATTCGGTAATGATTTTTATATCTTCAAATTAAGATGCAGTGTGTTTATGTCATGTGACATTTACATATATTTGTCTTTAAAAATGGAATTATCCTCTCACCCAAGCTATTTTGTACGGCTGCAGGGAAACCTGTGCTTGTCAGCATTATGTCCTGTAAGACTTGACAGTTGGGCTGATTTAGTTTGGTTGGAGGCAAGGTGGTTTCAGTGGTTAAGAGCATGAGCTTTGTCATGTAGACAGGAGCTGAAATTCAGCCTCCACCCTATGTTGTCTTGATTGGGTAAGCTGCTAGCTGAGCCTAGGTTTCTCAATCTTCAAAATGGAGGTAGTAGTGGGGGACTGGGTGGAAATAGTGGAAGAAATTGGTAGTTACAAAATAGTGTTGGGGATGTAAGTACAGCACAGGAAATACAGTCAGTAATATTGTAATAGCTAAGTATAGTGCCAGGTGAGTACCAGACTAACTGGAGGGATCACTGCATAAATCATATGTCTAACCACTATGCAGTACACCTGAAACCAATATAAAATAATATTGAATGGCAGCTGTACTTAAAAAGCAGGTAGTAGCTACTTGGGAGGTTATTGGGAGGATTGAGGAGATAATATTATGGTAAGTGCTCAGGACAGCAACTAGCTCCTCTTAGGTATTCAGAAATAACAAGTAGTTCTGTATTAAAGAGAAATCAGTTCATAGAAAAATGCACTGGAAATTTGGATCTTGCTGATCTCTCTAGTCTTATTAAGTAAGAAGTGACCATGTAAAGAAAGTTACTAAATTAATTATCTTGAATGAGAGTTAGATTTTTTTTGTGAGTATTGTAGAATTTATTTCTAGTAACTCTTTGTGTGAGGCTATTCCCTAGACAACTTTAAAATCTGTTTCCTAAGTTTCGTTATATTTAGATCCTAATTTTTTTCCAAGAAAATTATTATGATATTCTCTGTTTATTGTGCTTTAAAATGTTATTGTGCTTGCTTCTTATTAAAATAAGCCTAATTTTCTGTCTTACCAAACAAGTCGATTGAAAGAAAATTTTTCTAAATTATTTGTAATGATCCTAAATATTAAAAGTACTGATAGCACTCCTAATAGAAAATAAATTCTCTACTTTGGTCCTATTATATGTATAATGATTTCATTTGGTGATCAAAACAGTGAAAACAATTCCCTCAAGCTTTTTCTGTCCCCAAGAACAAGTAATTGGCATGACAAGTCAGAGTGCATGTCACAGGAGGCTTGTTCCTAATGACTTGCTGGGTTTTGGTTGTGTGTTAATCAAATAATTGTGTTCTTTAGAGTTTGTGGGGGGTTTTTTGTTTTTTTGCCTTTCATGAAGACAGTTAAATATCAAAATGTGATACCTTTTGACTAATCATTTAAAATGATTGAAAATACTAATAGAACAACATTAATACCAAGACTGCAGTTCTCTTGATGTAGTCACGTGTTGTCTCATTGATCAGCTTTTCTATTTTCAGTATTTGCCGGCCGCTGGTTAATGTCATTTTGGACCGGGACTGCCAAAATCCACGAGCTCTACACTGCTGCCTGTGGTCTCTATGTTTGCTGGCTGACCATAAGGGCAGTGACGGTGCTGGTGGCCTGGATGCCTCAGGGACGCAGGGTGATCTTCCAGAAGGTTAAAGAGTGGTCCCTCATGGTAGGTGTTTCCAATAAAGACTGATACTGGTGGACAGGAGTAATGGATGTTTTTCCAGTCAGTTTAACTCTTTTCACTTTTGTTTCTTCATTATGCTGATAGTGTCAAGAGAGTTGGTTTTTTGAATGAGAAGGAATATTGCTTTCAGACAGCTTTCTGGCTCATTTTGAGAACCACAATCAAATGTATCTGAGAGAGAAAATAGATCAGAGATAATCTCTGATCTATTAAGTGATCCAGTAAGGCTCTTGAATAAGTAACATAATTAGAAAACTTACTTTGGAGATTGATACATTTTAAGAAACAAGATATTCTGTAAAATTTAAAATCAATTTGTTTAAGTAGAAATTTCCTTTAATGATATTTTTTCTAAAATTTGATTTTCTGATCTATTTGAATATGTAAAATCTTGACTTCAGGATCAAGTCAGTGTTTTTCATATAATTAGTTGCTATTTAATCAATAAGATAATAAGAGAATTATATTTAAAATACAAAAAGCTAATTCCATTTTATATTTACGGTTCTTCCCTATTGTCAGATTGCCACGTAAAGGAACAAGAAATGTATCTTCATGCACACCGTGTTAGTTTCTTGTTGAAACAAATGGACTCACTAAGGCTTCCTTGGGGAAACGGGGGGTCATCAGACAGTCGAGGCCACTTTAAAGACTGATTCCTTTGTCAGGATTTTACAGTGGTTTTTTCATGTATCTCTTCTTTTCACTTTGTGTATGCTTTATTTCATCTGACCTTTCTGTTCAAATTCTAGAGCCGCACTGCCCAATACAGTAGCCACGTGGCCAGTGGCCACCATGTTGGGCAGTACAGCTATAGGACGTTTCTGTTAACCATAGCAAGTTCTGTTGGACCACACTGTTCTACCAGGAGCCAATTTGATCAGCTTGATTAATTACCTTAATTAGAGCTATGCGGAGTCCTTCTCTATACTAGTCCACCTCAGGCGTCACAGGTCAGCTTATGGATGGGTCGTTGACCATTAGATAAGGGTCCTGTGGCAACTAGAAGCTTTTTGTAGACAAACAGAAGCCTACTACTGAGAATAAGATTGAGAAATACAGCACAGCCACTTGGTTCATATGTGTAATTAAATGAAATTTCTATAATTTTGTAGCAGTAATGTGTAGTAATACCATGTTTTTATTACAGCTTGAGCTTTTATAGTTACATATTCAGATCTCATTTAAACATGGAACATAGGTGTGTGTACGTTGTTTGAAGTGATATATTCATTCTGTTAGAAGTCAGACAAGAAAAGTAAACTTTCCGATGGGATGAGGAGCTTGGCTGGAAGCCAGAGACTCTGGTGACATGGCGTCTCGTTCCCTCACAGATAATGAAGACTTTGATAGTAGCGGTGCTGCTGGCGGGAGTCGTCCCACTGCTCCTGGGGCTCCTGTTTGAGCTGGTTATTGTTGCTCCCCTGAGGGTCCCCTTGGATCAGACTCCTCTTTTTTACCCATGGCAGGTAAGTGCGTATCTTTAGCTCATGATATGAAACATCCTTTTTTTTTTTTTTAAGTGATTTTAAGCAATTTGTTTAGAAAGATTCCCTCACTTTTTCTGTTTCAGGAACTGTTGTAAAATCGATTAAATAATACATTTTAATCTATGGCCTTCAAAGCATGCAGGTCATATAAGTCCTTTAGACCTTATTTTATAGATTGAAATGTCACTCACTAGTCACTTAGGCTTCACCAGTATTTAAAGATACACACTAATGTATTGCTCTTTTCACCTTTGAGTTAGGGTAAGATATCTTGCTCCTTTGGCTTTGATACTTCAAGCAGTATCTTATACTTTGGAATAATTACAACATGTTATCCCACAAAGTCATAGGGCATCACCTCAGAAGTCCTACAGCCTCATTTTGGACTATATTCTACTGGGTACAAGCAAGTCAGAGATTGGCCCAGATTCAAGGGAAGGGGACGTAGACCCCCTACTACTCGATGGGAGAAGAATTGGCTGGCATGCTCTGACACCGCCACAATGCAGAAGTGATTATTTGCGGGGTGGCAAAGTGTCACCTTACAGATCACTTGATAGTCTCACAGAGAAACAGACAGCTTTACAGTGGAGGGGTCAGGTGCCATTGCCTTAACCCAGTGACCACTGCACATCAGACACAGCCTGTGCCTCTTGATGTTCTGCAATGAACACCGCTGTAAAGAGCCAAGCGGCCCTGATGTCTAGGAGCTGGCCTGGCTCTGTCCTCTAGGCCTTGGTGTTCTCCTGTTGGGCATAAACAGTTTCACAGAACATCAGCATTGCACAAGGCCACTCTGATCACGATGGATCAAGGCAACACAGCCACCCCCAATCTCACCCCACCCCACGGCCCTGTGATCATGTCTGAACACAGGCAAACGTTGAGTATTGTCCACACCACAAAAATGACCAAATATCCCCGTCCTGGCAAACATGATTGGCTGCTGCTTCATTACCAGTAGAGTTTTAGCCTCGCTCTATCCCTCCTTCTGTAAGATTTATTACGATACCCAGTTATAGATTTCCTCTGCTTTCTAATAGTATCTGGCACAGAGTAAAGCCTGCTTCCTGAAACCCTCCCCAAGTCACTTTACACAAGTCCCAGTCCTATAATAAGCCCTTTGTAGCACTCTCTGCACCCCATGTTCCTTGTGGGGTGCATTGTCCCTCACTGCAATGAGTAGCAAATGCCGCTTGTTTGGTTACACGTGTTTTCTCCGTGGTCTTGAGAGTACCCAACATTGTTGCCTTGGAGAATTACATGAAATGGTCCAGTTTTAAGAATGCTTATGTATTGTGACCCCGCAGTTTCCCTTTTCAGAATCTGCTGCAAAGAAACATTTACACACGTGTGTGTACAAGGAGTCAGAACAAGGCTGTTTCTGCTATTGTGCCATTTTTATAATGTGAAAAGAATAAGCAGCAGCCCAGATGCCCATCAGTAGAGGGACTAAATAAAATGTGGGAGAGCTTCCTTTGGAAAGCAGTGCCCCAGTCTGTGAGGAGGGGAGAAACACAGGCTATAGACAGACATGTGCGGCATGTGTTCTTATATTTGGATAAAACCCTGAGCTTTGGAAGCAGAACAGCTTGCCTTTTCGCCATTCCTGGCTCTGAGCTACTTGCCTTTCCTGTGTCAAGTGGCTGCAGATATGTGGGAGACTGGGCTCTTTAGGATTCTAGCAGAGTGACGTGTGTGGTGTATCCTGCATGTGAGAAGGGACTGGAAAGCAGTGGGACTGAAAGAGCTTGAACCCCAGGGACGTGTGGCCCTCCACCGTGAGGCGGGCACCTTACCCGGTGAGGAGCCCCGTGTGGCCAACCGAGCGCACCGCGCTGGAGCTCGCTCTCTGGGAGCCTTGGGGACGGTCTCTTCAGGCCACACATGGCTCCACAGTGTTTTATTTTGACATAGTCAGCTCAACTAAAACTGATGAAACAGCGCAAGGATGTTTTTTTTTTTTGTTTTGTTTTGTTTTCAGCTGAGCCATCCTGCTACCTGTTGGAAGCTCAGCGGCTGCTCAGCTCGGGCTGCACTCGAACCACTGTTGCTCAGAGCTCAAACTCTTGAGCGAGCTCTTAACCAACTGAGCCACTCGGCCGGCCCTCTTTTTTTTTTTTTTTCTTTTGCAAGGATGTTTTGATGAAATAAAACCATGACACTGTTTCATTTATTTGCTCCTTGAGATCTCCATTAATGTCCATATAGATACAAGAATGACATTTGATAGAAACATTGAACTTGAGCTGTTGAGGAAAAACATCCCCTGGATTTCCCAGCATACCTCCGTCTTCTGTAAAACTGTTGCTAGTCCTGCAGGACTTCTGTTTTGAAATGAAATAATTGAGAAAATTATAAGCCTCTCTGTTGTGTTTATTGCTAACAACAACAGCAGCAATCTGTTAAATGCCTTTTATTACCCAGGACTGGGCACTTGGGGTCCTGCATGCCAAAATCATTGCAGCTATAACATTGATGGGGCCTCAGTGGTGGCTGAAAACTGTGATCGAGCAGGTAAGCAAAATCACCTTTTAGAAAAAGACTGGAAGTAATAGTGATGATATTTAGCTGATGGGACTCATTTTTCTGCTTTTCTTAGTTTTCTACATTTTCTTTAATTAACGTATGTAACGTTTTTTTTTTAAAGGAGAGGGCAGTTTGCTCTTTTCTCACCATGAATTTTCATCAACCACTCTTAAGACTTTCCTTATCTAAAGGTTAACCAGTAGCTTAAAGTACCTAGAACCCTGTCTAAAGTAAAGGCAAAAATTAGCTTATGTGCTTTGGGGGCGGGGGGGGGGGCAAGAATTCTGATGGAGGCTTGTTATTGATGTTTCTAAACCTATAGTAAAGAAAAAAGTTACTGCTCAAGGCAGTAAATAAAAGGCAGAAAAAGTAATAGATTAAAAAAGCAGAGCTGTTTGGGAATATTCTAGCTATGTAGCATACATAATATACTCTTAGTATTGTAGTATTATGGAACCATCAGATAATTTGATCATTGTGGTGACAATCTTGAAAAAGATAGATTGTGCTTCTATACTTGGATAATAATGTTTGGAAACATGATTATTCGTTTTAGGAAGATACCTATCCGAAAGAGCCAACATAACAGATTTTGGTACTTCTTTAAGTTTTAGTTATCTAGAGCATGTTCTGTGGGCAGTCTTCTTATCCTTACGTCCGCGCCAAATGTGATAAATAAGGCATTGCAGTCCTGTAGCCGTAAAGGCACCCCTCCTTTTGGCGTATAGGAAATACAGGCAGTAGTTTTCAGCCCAGTCTGCACAAGAAAATGGTCAAAGACATGTGCCTGGTGTGTGGTGTGTGGGCTTGGGGAGAGCCTGGGAATTGAGTGTGTTGGCATGCATCTCCCGTGCCGGCTGATTCTGAAAGTGCACCGGAGTGAGGTGGTTGTGGGGTGCACGGCCGCACAGCCATCTGTGATAGGAGTGTGGCCACCCCACTCTAGAATCTCCAGGAAAGACTCCCTTGCCCTTGAGGAGTGTGGGGAATAAGGGTTTAATCACAGCTGGAGGCTGTGACATTGTTGATCTTTGTAATATTTTGCCCTCTGATGCATTCTTGTCTTACACGTGTAAGTTTAAAAAATGGCTGAGAGACACTGGGATGCCTTGCTGCATGAATGTACGTGCATTTGGGCTAGCCAGGTTTCTTGGGGACCAGAAGCTGCCTTGGGGGCTAAGCCAGTTTGTCATTCACAGCTGAGTGCTCTGGCGTGCTCCTCAGGAGCGGGTGAGTTGTCCCAGGTGGTGTGACTGGGCGCCAGGTGAGGTTGCCATGCTGGGGAAACAAGGGCGGCACTTCCTGGTTTGGCTCCATCTGCAAGCCGTCTTTATTTTCCATTATTCCCAAGCTCGCCCCACTTCCGTCTGTTCTTTCCTCTCCATAGAACTTTCCATAGATCTTTCTGGATGTGCCGATGGAGATTCCTGGATTTAAAAAAAACGTTCACTGTAGAATTCTTTTATACTAAACTTTTACATAAAATACTTTTTGGTTTGTTAAAATTTGATTTATATAAGGTTTTCAGAAACACGTTTCCTGTTTATGATATTGTTTTATATTCTGAGAAAACGAATGCAATCTTGAGTAGTAACACCGATCACTCTTAGGAAGTTACTTCCAGTTAATGTGGTCTTAAGTAAATACTCCTGGGTGCCGTCTGGTATTGTATAGTGCAAGGCTAGTGTAATTGTGGTTCTAGATTAGTGTCTTTATTATTTCTTCCCTTCAGGGTGTTAACTGCCAAGTGTAAGGAGGTAAATGCATTTCTTTAGAAACTCATGGGCACCATGCTTAGGTTTGTGTTCCAGAGTTTGCCTTGACTTTGAGAAAAATAACCAACTTGAATCCTCTGGGGCTGGTAGATTCAGTTCTTTGCAGCTCGGATTCACAGAGAGTGCTGTATTAGCCAGGAGGTATTTGTCTCGTATCCTTGTTCCGATGTTTTCCCTTATGTTTCAGGTTTATGCAAATGGCATCCGGAACATCGACCTTCACTATATCATTCGTAAACTGGCAGCGCCTGTGATCTCTGTGCTCCTGCTCTCCCTGTGTGTACCTTACGTCATCGCGTCCGGCGTGGCTCCTCTACTAGGTGGGTGATGCTGGCTGGGAGCTGGGAGAGCGCCTTTCATTAGCATTGTTTTGTTATTGTCGTTTCCAGTGTCAGGGTGGCTGGCCCCAAGTGCTTTATTTGTAAATGTAAATCCAGCTCAAACAGTTGAGTTCAGAATACTATTTTTCTTAGGTTTGACCTCAGGGCAAGATTAAGAGACTCCTCAGGCTCTTTGATACAGTTTATTTCTTTAGGCAGGTGAGAACAGGTTGACATTTACACTGTCCTCCAAACAGGCAGGAACAGATTTCCTTTTCCTGCTGTGGTCACACACTTATAAAATTAAAGAAAAGTATTATAATTATTTTTTTAAAATGTTCTTCAGCATAAAAGGAACACCAAAGAGGAGATGCTAATTTGTGACACTTCAGCAGCTAGAATTACCAATTTTGTACTGAAGAGCCCCCACAAGACCTTAAACCCAGCATATGTTCAAAATTATGGACAGCGTTTTTCCTTCCAAATCTTTTTTTCTTTTCTTGGATTCCCTTCTGTGACCAGCGTTATCATCCAATAAGTTGCTTGAGAGTCCACCATGTCACCTGAGGCTCTCTGCTCTCCACACTCAAATGGGCTCCAAGTCCTACTGATCTGCCTTCTGGGACCCAGTCTCTCATCTCTGGCACCCTTATCTAGGGCTCTCGTTGACACCTTAATGTCACCAGCCCCCTCTCTGGTTTCCCTGCTTTGGCCACTAATTCATTCTCCAATCTGCAGCCGGCCATGATGACCTTTCAAAAGAATGAGTCATTGTTTCTCTTTGGTGAACATCCTTTCATTGGTTCCCCTGTGGCCTCAGAAGCATAACTGGCTCCCAGGTGTAGCTCACCGGCCCCCCCCCCTTGCTGTCGCCGGCTCCTGTTTGACCTCACTTATTGCCTCACTCCATTTCATCCACCGCGAGTGTCACCTACGCACCACCAGCCAGTCCCCTCTTAGCGAGAGCGCATACGTTTATTCCACTGCCATTCCGTACACACGTAGACCTTCCCCTTTTTGGTTTTACAGGTGTGACTGCGGAAATGCAAAACCTGGTTCACCGACGGATTTACCCGTTCTTATTGATGGTCGTGGTGTTGATGGGGGTCTTGTCCTTCCAGGTCCGCCAGTTCAAGCGTCTCTATGAGCATATTAAAAACGACAAGTAAGTCTAGACTTCAGCCAACCAGCCGCTCTTGGTATGATACAGGTCTCATTTCTTCATTATTGTGTCTAATGTGATAACTCACAGGATGGAAAAGTGCTCACATTCTGAATGTAGTTTAAGGTACAATTAATAGGATTTGCTAACAGATTTGCTGCGGATGTGAAGAGCATTATCAGGGACTCAGCGGCGCAGAGCAGCTGGGAATGTGGAGTTGTCACTTACGGAGATGAAGAGACTGGGGAGAATCTGGTTTGGGAGAAGGATTTTCTAATGCCCATTCCACATAGTTTTCAAATACGTTGCTCCGACAGTACACTAACTAGTTTTAGAGAAAAAGAAGCCTGTTAGGGATTGGCGGCACCTGCTAGGCCCTGGCTGCAGTCCAGGCCCATTAGGCTCCTCTGACCACTGCCGAGAGGGGCTGCAGAGTTAACTGCAGAAGGGCCGAGCCCTCTGCTCTGTGGACACGATGACCTGACCTCAGAGAGAGTGAGGACAGCCCAGGATAACAGCTTTCAGGTGTCACGGCACAGCCGTTTGACCGTCCATGTCCTATGGAAGGCTGGGTCCTGCCCTGCTTTACTGGTGTCGGAGGGAGAAAGTGAGTTTATAACTGTGCTGCTTTACTTGAGAGTCCCAGTTTCCACACGCTGCCTTCGTGTCGTTATTAACAGCACTCCCTGACTCAGCACTGAGCGCTCCAGTTTAGGCAAGAAATTATATGGCCGCCTTATTTACAAGTTGGAGGACTTATAAGCGTAATAGTTTTAAGAATGACATTTAGAGCATTCACGGCTTCTCCAGAGTGTGTACTGTTGGTAGAAAATACAAGTACACTTTCAGGCAGTCGGAGTACAAAGTTCTGTCGAGCAGAAAGAAGGGGGAGGGGCTTCAGTGAGGAGAGGCAGGTGTTCTCGCTTCCCTGGTTTTGGCGGAGGAGCAGACCCTGCAGACAGAACGGTAGCCGAGACAGGCCCGGGCGCTTTTTGCTGCTGTCGTCTTCCCCTGTCAGCTGTCTTCCCAGCCTTCCCCAGTGAGCCCTTCCCACCTGCCTCTCATCATTTTTCACCAGTGCCTGCTCTTGTCCTGCAGCCCAGCGCGCTCCCTGGCGCTTCCCCAACTGCTCCCCCGTGCAGGAAACATTGCCCTGCAGGCTCCGCCGAGGGCCCGCCTTGCTCGCCTTGCAGGTCCACTCCAGCGGTGCTTGGTCCATGTGGGAGCGCGGGGAGTGTGTGCATGCGTGCTGGGCTGCGGTGACAGAGTCTCCTTTTTCTGCCACTGAGTGACTTATTGGTCCTAGGCAAGTTAATTAGCATCACTTTTCTCTGTGCTTTTTGCATTTTCATTGCCATAATGCTAACCCCGTTCTTGGGCATATCTTGATGCGTTTTATGATTATGTTTATGTATGATGTTACATATTGCTCAGTTATCATTATTTAAAACATGTACAGAAGCCTCAGAGTTTTAAAAAAACACTGCCTGTTTTCCCCACTGGCTGGGAACCTGGGGTAAGGAATGGGTAACTTTAGGAAAAGAATTAGTAAGACAAAAGGGATTAAACAGTAAGATCATGGATGAAGCAGCAGCAGGATTAGTGAAGTGTTTTAAAAAGTGAAATGTAAAGCTACTTGGCGTAAACTGCCAAAATACCTCATTAGGCTTATATGTGTTGACAGAAAACTGATAGAAGTCTTGGTGAAAAGTAAGTTAGCACACTGAGCCCGCACCGCGTGCCAGCCTTCTGTATGCGGCCTGTTCGCACAGCGGTCACGGGACACAGGACTTGGTTCTCCTCTCATTGATGAGGGAGCTGGGTCTTGGAGAACCCCGCCTCCTGGCAGCCCTGATGCCCGGGCCTCCCCCTCCCACTCTTAGCTCAGGTGTGCCAGGCCTTACTAGACGGGCGCTCCCTGACCTGCCCCAGTGCTTCCGAGTGGGTGCTTGCACCCTGTGCCCCAGTCTCCCCCAGCTCACTGCCATCGGCTGTGTCACTCACTGTACTCCAGGGCTCAAGCTCCAGGCCATTTCCCCGCATTTTGTGAGGCATGGCACTGCTTCTCCTTGGCAGCTCCTGCCATCGTGTGGGGATGCGGTGTCCTGGCGGAAGACCTCCAGTCTGGTCATTTGAGCTGCAGTGGCTTTTGTCTCTGTCCCCGCAGTCCTGCATTCTCTGCCGGAACCTCCCTGTCTCGCGTCCCATGAGTTCAGAGCACTTCTGTTCTGTTCCCGGACCATAACCCCACCTCCGTCACTCACGTGCGCTCACCTCTCTGCCACCTCCCCCTCCCACCTCACTGAAATCTTTGTCCTTTGATTTCCCCTTTTCTTTAGAACTAGAGACGTTCAGGTCCGACTGAAAAGGGTAGGGTAGGTCCTGTCTTCTCAGCTTCCTGATCGTGTATTTCGAGTCCGTTCCTTCAGATCTGTCCGCCGAGCTGTTTCATAAAATGCAATCCATACGGATAAGTCCCCTGCATGAGTTTACTCTGCCTTGCCCTCCTCCGGCCTCTGCCCTCCGGACATCGCACACATCCGAGACCTCCGGACCTCTCCCCCTCCCGTCCCTCGCTCTGAGGGTCGCTTTTGTGCCTTCGGCAGGTTCATTTAGACCCCTCTTCTACCTACCTAACCATGGAAGGGTCTTAAGTAGGAGTGAAGTGATCTGATTGGCATTTTAAAAAATGTGTCACTGCTGCTCTTCAGAAGAGTCCTTTCCTATGTAAGATCATATAAGAGAGTAACCGCCCTGCTTTTACAACCCAGGTACCTTGTGGGCCAGCGCCTTGTGAACTATGAACGGAAATCGGGCAAACAAGGCACATCTGCACCACCTCCACAGTCGTCCCAAGAATAAAGTGCTTGTCTCAGCCACCTGACCTGCCCCCTGCCTCTCCGTGTCCTTTTTGGTGGACTTCTCTCTTTGGAGATTTACCCAGTGATCTCTCAGCATTGTTTTTAAGTTAAATGTATTTGACTTGTGTTCTCAGCATTCGGAGAGCAGCCTTTTGAGGCTCTGCTGCCCGTCCCGCACCTTCTGACATCACTGCTGTCTGAGGTCTGTACATGTGTAAATAGGAGCTCCTGGATACCCCCAAACCTTGGATTAAACAGAATGTGCATTGTACATCTTTAAACAAATGTATATTAATTTATTAAATCTAGTTGTCACTTTATTTTGGACCTGCTGTGACCTTGACAGGAAACGTGCCACAGAGCCACAGTGCAGAGACAAGACTTCCAATGACGTTTTTGGGAGCACAGCATCATGTGTTCCTAGCAGTTCTTACTAAGTAAACTGTACGTTCTCTCTGTCTTGGCTGTTGAGCCCTTACCAAGAACGGAAAAGGAGACAAATAGAAATCAGCAGTGGAGTGTCTGTGGTAAGAAAACATGAACTTCGGGCTTCATGTCAGTCGTTTCTGGAAGTTGTTTTGTATAACACCAAAGCTGTTGTACATTTTCTACTGCCTGATTTTTTCTCATGTGTCTGTGTTTGTAATACTGTATAGTATCTTGTGCTAGGTGAGGAAATTATTTTTAATTTTGATAATTTAATATTCCTAGTGATCAGCATTGGGAGTTGGGTGTTGTGCTTGTTGGGGGCATGCCTATATTTAGAGGGAAAATGTCCGAAAGGTTTTCATCAGTCCCCTACCTCCCTCTTTCCTGCACACAGCTATCTTTTTCACTTTTTGGCGGCAGTGGGCAAAAGTCATGCGAGATCATAAATCTTATCAGAATAATGGCACCAATGACACTGCATCTTACTGGAATTAGGACATACTGAGCTATTCGCTAAATGTAGGTGTGGTTTGTGGTCTTAGATTGACAGCATTAGAAAAGTCTGGTCAGAACCACTAATCCTGCTGGTTAGTGCCTCATTGGGTGAGGATGAGGGAGTGCGTTCCTTCTAGGTTTCCATGAGCATATCCCAAAGTTTCCAAAGCTTTTTGTTTACAGAATAAAACTACAAATAAAACCAACTTGATTCATTCATCCAGAAGGAACCTGGCTGAGCTGGCCTTTTACGTAAGAGTGCAGATGTGTTTCCCTGGAAACACCCTGTAACATCTCAGAGCACTGAACACTTACAGACTTGGTTTCCTCTTAGAACCAAAGCTTCAAGTTCGAACTTGAGAGAACTGGAACGGGTGGACACACAATCCAAGTATCTGTGGCAACAGTGTATTGTAAGAGTAGTGTGTGTGTGTGTGTGTGTGTGTGTGTGTGTGTGTGTGTGAATGACAACTAAAGGTTCTCAGAGAAGGTGGACAGCATGGGTCTTCAGAAACCAGGTGAGAATTTCCACACAGTATTAAAACCCATAAACTCAAACCTGGAGATTTTTTAAATATGAAAGTCAGCCAAACATAAGCTTCTGAAATGAAAAGCAACATGTTCTGGTTGTTTTATAGTTCAATGATTTTTCCCAAAGTGGTGATTACTTACTTTAAAATACGTTTTAAAATATCAGTATCAGAAAAGAAAGCTTGATGTAGGATTCAGTGTTACATGTTTTGGCACTTTGTAGTACGCCTTTCTCTGGCATTGAAATAAGGTTTTTGCAAGCCCTGCCTTCACTTAGAAATTCAGTCCCACTGTAAAAAATTAAGAGTATTTTAAAATGTAACTCCACCTGTCATGGTATATGTCTGTGTAAATTCTCTTTGGGAGAAATATACTATGAAATTGGGCATATAACTTGACTATATTAATTTAGATTTTTTTAAAAAACTTTTCAGGGAATTTATAGATCTTATATAAAGTCATTGGAACACATTTATCTGTTTTACCAGAAAGACAGAGGCAGATAATGCAAAAGGCTAAAAATTGATATTCTACAAAATTTTAAATGAATCTTATCAGATATTTTGTAAAAAAAACAAAAACAAAAAATCCATCCATACATACGTATGTATGTATATGAATGGCCAAAATGTTGCCCTCCGTTTCACTTGCAGATTATCTTGTCTTACTTAATGATTTCCCCTAGTTTTCCAGTTGTGCTTTATCCTCTTGTTTTCAAAAAGATGAATACTTACATAAAGCATCTGCTGGCATACTATTTACTTGGGTAGCATCAAGATTTTATTATTAACTAATGGTCTTATAAATATTTAAAAGCTCTAGTTCAGAAAGTGTTAGTATTGCTGCCCTTCATGTAGAATTTTTTTTTTAAATAATAGTGTTGTTTTGCTTCATTTTACATTTGGCTAAAACTGTCTTCAAGGAAGTTAATTAGGAAAGAAGACCTTTTTGTTTTATTTTTACTATTTATAAATTGAAGACAAATCAACATTTAGGGTTAGTTTAACATGACCAGTTACCAAATGATCATAGTATGAGGCGTGCAGTTGTTCATTATTAGCAAATTATGTTTGATTTTTTAACTATTAAGTACTAATAGTTGAGATGAAAACTGAAGAAAAATGCCAATGTGAAGTTTGTGTATCGCTAGCTTTAAAAAAGCTCTGTGTTTTTAGGTTATCTTCCCTGTTAGTTCCTGGAGAAACAGTGGGGATTGGACATCTCAATTCCAGATGTAAACAAAAAGTAATTTTTATTTCAACATTTAATATAACTTATTACTGTGCATTCTTGTCTTGTGTTTTTTCTTCCCCTTATTCAAGTAATAGAGAATAACTTTTTCTCAAATGATTTGATCTTAGATATGTCATTTCTGTATTTGCAAAATGCTGTTATTAAAAGTGTAATTCTTAAAATGTAGGTTGAATTGATGACTTTTTAAAACAATACAAAGAAGTACTGGACATTTCTACATTGTATTGCGCGCGCGCGCGCACATGCGGTGTAGCACCACTATACAAACACGCACTTTTTTAAACTTCGCAAGTTAGCTACTTATTCTTTTTCAGAATTGAGTTAGTATAAGCTCTCTACTTACTGCGATAAAGTTTTTTTTATATTGTAAATTTAAACGATTATGTTTAAAATTCTCCTTTAGAATAGTACCTATTCAGTCACAATCAAGAAAAGGCAAAAGTGAAATGTCCTACTACTAAAGTATTCAGAGCCTCATTTGTGGATATTCTCTCCCTTCCTTGCTGGAGCTGTCTTGTATGTTCTTACTTAATTTGCCCCCTCAATCAGATGTTTTCCCTTCAGTCTTTTTACTTTCCTGTGTTGTTTTTTTTAAAACAGTTGCCATGAGTAAGGAATTCTTTCAGATAACCCCTAACAACACCTCAGCATTAATGCAACATAAAGCTAAGACAGTACATATCTATTTTCATTCCTGTCTGTTTTATATTGAGTGCTTTGTTTTGTGGTCACGAAAGTAATATAGTACCTGAAATGAACATGTAGTGACTGTGAGGCCTAGACATGACTGTTGTAGAAGCTAAGTAGAATACTGAGTTATTTGGGATGGCAGTTTTCTATTAAGCAAACACCTTAGATGTACCCAGATCAATTTTATGTGTGTATATATAAACATTATACACACACACACACACTAAAATGCTCCCCTTTTTTGTGGTTAGTTGTTGCCGTCTGAGCTGCGAGAACAAAATTGAATAAAGTGAATGTTAGTTGTAGCCTAGTTTTTTTGGTTGATTTGTTTTTGCTTTATTGCAAGATTGCTTCAGAATCACAGAAATGTGCGTTATAGTCAGCATAGGTAGATAATCCAGACATTTTTAAATGTTAATATGTAAGAAAAAGAATTTACTGAGGTTACGTGTGATTATAGTCCCTCCGTTCTAAGTATAAATGTAAAGTTATAGCTAGAGGACACATCCCTGTCCTTCCCTGCCCGCACTGTAACTACAAGACCATCATCATTAGGAAGAGCGAAGCCCTCACCTTGTGCCACCCCCTCTGCCTCTGCGACAGGACCCCAGCCTCAGAGCTTCGTAGGTTGCCTCTGTTAGGTGGGTACTTGGATAGAGTAAAACCAAGCAAATCCACGTGACATAATTGACCGTGTCTCGGAGAAAAAGGAAATGAGTGCATGAGGGTTTTTCCTCCTAAGCGATCTGTGTAAAGAGATTCTTTGGTTTCCAGTTTTTCTTTGTTTCTTGTTTTTTTCCTATGATTTTTAAATCAAGTGCATTTTTATTTTAAATGCAGTGGTGGAAGGCGAAATGCTGTTTGAACCATAGAGCATCTTTAATCTGTGAAGTTGAAATTTTACAGCAAAAGAAATGGCTGAGTGTCAGAGGTGGCCATTAATTACTCCTTCCCATCCCGCAGTTTGCAGCTCCTTTTGTTGCAAACATAGAACTGATATCACAAGTGGATTAAGGATTGGAGGAGGTAACAT